TATGTTTGCAATGGTTTTCAAGTGTTTGCAGGTGATTTTTTCAAGTGTTTTAGAAGCATCTTTCAACTATTTCATCTACCTTCAGACGTACGTTGGAAGTGTTTTATTTGAATATTTCAAAAATAGATCGAGTGTTATATCTCTCCTCCTCATCTTCTGCTACATCACCTCGGTGTCTCCTCCTCCTCCCGGCGTCAGTTGGGCATCCGCCGCCCTCCCCCTCTTCTCGATGTTGGCGACGTTCGGGGCAGTGTGGGCCCCGTGTGGGCGGCAAAACGGCTCGAGAAACGGATTGCGGTTCCAAACGCCCCATCCGTCCGAGTGCTAGCAAGCTCGTTCTTAGAAAACATATCTTCACGGTAACTAAAATATGAAGAGACGTGATAGCTATAGCAAATACAACATTGTGTCATATTCACATCAGCAATTTAGGTGACCTGCAGGAGAGGGCACCCAAGACAAGCTAGCTTGTTGTAGCGGTGATCGAAGCCCTCCAATGCAACAACCCAACATTCAATGTCCATTATTAGTATATATATTATTATCATGCTCTCTTACTGCAATCAAATGCGGACGGGTAAAGGAGGTAGGCTATACTGAAGAATAAAAAACTACTTAAAAATTAATTAGGTCAATCTCCATGCACGGTTACCAAGAATGCCACATTAACTTTACAAGTAAACGAAACAATCCATCTCAATGCATAGTTTCAAGACATAGTTTCATAGGGTAGCCACATCATTTAATTGTGATATGGTTCTATGATTAAATATGGCATATGAAATTATAGCCTTGCAATAATTGCATATAATTATTTGGTTATCTCACGCAGAAGATCCTGGAGAGCGCGTGAAAATGAAACAAATCGGTGGTCTTGTGGAGGTTTCATTGCATTTCATTGTGTAGGTAAAGTGATGAATGGGTTTTAATCCTAAGAGCAAGCACAATAATAGGCCTATAGCTAAGCTAGCTAGTATTTTTATCAACGTGGAGGAGTGAAGGAGAAGAGAGAGGAGAGCTTGGCCCATGCAAGCAGCAAGCTGAATACAAGAGCCTAGGCACTGGTGGACCCAAAGAGCAAGTAGATGTGAGGAGAGAATAGGGAAGAGAATGTAAGGCATAGGTAACCAGTAGTGCCACATAATAATAAAAAATATAGACAAATATAAGACAACTATTGCGCTTGACTCTTAGGGCGACCGCAACGGTTTGGGGAAATCTCTAGCTGACATGGCAACATGAAGAATTAAAAAAAATAGAACCGTGGAGGTGCACAGGTCCCATAGAAGAGAGATACAGAGAAAGCTTATGGAAAACTATGCGAGCCTATGTACTTGGCCGCCGCTGGTGACTTCGTTTTTTATATTCTCTCTCCTCCAAGTCATATAAGAAACAATATCAGCTAGCTATTAGACAGCTTGTTGGAGACGCCCTTATAACTTGATTTATAGCCACGCACTTTACTCTATTATTGGACTTGCTCTAATGAGAATCTATTTTTCTCTTTTCTCATAAATACCATGCCAACTAAGCAAATTTACTAATGTATCATAGCTTTAAATAAGAACAAACCCATGTGAAACTCCCACAGAGGCTGACCTTAGAGACAAGGAAGCTATAGTTATTGTATGAGTTGGTTGTTTGGTGTCTATCTTACGGACCCATTGTTCGCCTAAAAATAGTCATTTAGTTGGTTTCAACAACGTTTAAACAGTAAACAAATAAAGACAAAGCATGCCATGCATTTAGTCCCTAAATAGTGAATTAAACCATTGTACCATTCCACCACCAAGGCCATGTCAGTTGATTCAACAGAGCTGGGAGGTTCATGGTCCATGGAGATGCAAAGGAGCTCAACAGAGCGATCATGAGTTGCTCAATGACTAGCAACTCATGTTCAAAGAAGATGAAGAATATGCAGCATACATCAAGATCAAAGACCGTGTCTTCGAACATACTCGAGCATATGACACAACATTCCTAGTAAACACAGTTATGACTCATGATTTCTAGATAGTTTTGTGGGCTGAGAAAATGTCTAGAAAATTCATGAACAATGCTCACATCTCCTTACTATGGAGTTTTTATGCATGCTCAAAACTTCTGCTATGGGCATTACATTTTGGTTTTTTTTCGGAGAAGATCATTCTATTAATTGGAATAACCTTAGAATGATGATTGGCTTCAATAGTAAGTGTGTAATAAGCTTGGATAGTGCTGTGCCAACTTTTAATAAGAATGGTTTTCCGTTAAAAAATTCTAGGCTAGGCAAACTGATTCAACTTCACCACGAACACCAATGACATCCACAACCCCACTCTTCGATTCATGCATCTTAGATTGCAATGACTTTGTTTCCTAGAGCTGATATGAGAGAACTTTAAGAAATGATGAACTAAAATTGTTGCTTCCCATGGTAAAGAAAACACATGTTTCACCTGTAGAATGCACATGATGCATCAATAAACAGATGTTTCAATAGAATGGGTGCAATCAAGTGTACATCTTTGGTCACTCAAATTGTCGATAAACTTGGAGTTTTAGAAAAAGCATCAATTGAATACCTTCCTGCAAAGCATGTGTAGCTGGGTGAAGATCACTTCATCCAAGCTCACGTAATAAAAAAAACACTAGATCGACCTCTTGTTATGATTTATCGCGCACGTCTATACAACTAAAATTATTTTGCCTGCACCGGGATATTGGTTGTATAGAGCGTGATCATTAACACTTGTTTTGGAGAAACAAGAGAGGCTGCTTGCATGAGAGTTTCAGGGAGATTGACAAGGAGTATGCCACGAGCTCGAGCCCAATGTGAGCTACTACAACAATAGTAGTAGCAAGCATCGTACCATCCATCGTATGGTCAACCATTTGCTGGACAAGCAAGTTGGCAACAACCAGGCTCATATCAGCCTGATTGGGACCAGACATACCACCCATAGCCCTACGAAGCAGAAGGATCTAACTGAGAGAGTGCGAGTAATGCTCAATGGGCACAACCCATAGGTTCCTCCTACCACCCTTCGGTGGGTGGTGAGTATTCTACAAGTTCAAGTGGATACCCTCCTCACATTGGTGCATGACGCTCCTTTTCGACACGCAGCTACTCCGAGCTCCAGCACGACATCACTCAACTCACACATCAAGTGGGTGATCTAACATTAGAATGGAGGAAGTTCAGAACATGCTAGATCACTAATATTTTTAATAGCAAATAAGTATCATTAGATTAATTATAAAATACTCTAAATGCCAATATTTTTCTTTACTTTGTTAAACTTAAAAAAGTTCGACCTGTTCTATACCTAGCTAGAATTACCCTCTTTTTGGAACGGGTGAAGTATAAGCTCGAGAGCATATAGCTGTAAACAGGGGCGGATATGGGCCTTGGGCCACTAGGGCCATGGCCCTAGGCGTGGCCCAAAATATATACCTTCTATAGTGTATGGAAATTTCTAGGCCAATTGGAAAGCGTTGGGCTAAATCCTCTACTCCAACCGGCCCAGTCACGGTGAGAGAGAGCAGGAGCGCCTCCACCCTCGCGACTCCAGTCGGCATGATTCCACGAGCGCCGCCATCTCCGAGTCACGGGTTGCGGCTCCCGTCCCCGTCGTGTCCGCCGAATCGCAACTCCTCTCCCTCTCCTGCAGTCTGTGCTGCACTAGTTCCCTACTCCGGCTAATCCCTGACCGCCATCGCCGCTGTCCGCCGCTAGGGGCTGTCTGCACTCCGTGTTGGGTGAGTGGACTTCCTAGACATAGCTGCGCTGGCTAGCGAGCACCGAGCGGGCGAGCGGCGAGCTGGCTACCTGCATCTCGCCTTGGCCGCGTCACGGTATGAGGCAGCACCGTAGCAGAGCAGGGCCACAGCCCACAGAATGCGACAAGACACCTGAGCACCTGAGCCATGGAGGCTTGGAACTTGGTAAATTTCCCCTTCTTCAATCAAGTTCTATTTTAATGTTATTTTAAATGTTGAACTCTTTCTAATCTAAAAATTCAATGAATGATTAATTGATTAGAGCAATATTGTATATTTATTATTATGAATTAGATTAGTTATATCTATATTGGTATTTTCATCTCATGCAGATGGTATTTTAACTCGATCGTGTGGGCGGTATGCATGCTTTAATAATTTATAGTGGCCCTAGGCGTGAAACTAGAGGAGCTCCGCCACTGGCTGTAAACATCAGGGGCCCGTGCCCTTACCGTGCTGAGAGCTTAAGCTGAAAAGTCAGCACGTACGTAGGGTGCAATCAAGAAGATTTGAGCGTATAGCATCCCATTCTCACCAAAACTCTCCTGTCGTCCTGTGCAAAGACTGCACAGTCCAATTAACTCACACACCAGCAAATTCTCCCAGTCCCATCGATCGCGCTGTGCTGTAGACACAGTACCGGGTTGGATTCTGCCATTCTGGCGTTTAAAGGGCCGGGTGGACCCTGGACCGTGGGTGCCCAGTTGCATGCCCACCAGCTTGCCGACGCCGAGTGCACAGTGGCCCCGCAGAAAAATCAAATCCGGCGTGCGTATCACCCCATTGGCCCTGGTGCGTCCAGCCCGCCCCGCGCTGCCGCCAGCCTCACAAACACGACCAAAAACCCGCGAACCCATGCTACGCGCGCCACCGCGGCTTTACCTGCTGTGATGAGTAACCAGGCCTCCGTCCACGTCGCGCGGCACGGGCAACCACATGTACGCGCGCAGGCTGGAGGCAGCAGGCCACGCTCCCCTCGCGGCCACCATAGGCGCCCCGCGCCCTCCCCCGCCTGGCGACTGGCGACTGGCGATCGCCCTTCCCCCACCTCTTCGGCCTCTCCTAATTCCTAACGTGTCCGCCTCGTCCCCCACCTCCTCGTACGTGCTTGAAGCCAGCAGGCAAGAACAGGTGCTAGCTGCTACACTGCGTACGGCCGGGTTGATCGATCGATCGACGAGCCACCGCGGGCGGCGGTTCTTGGTCGCGTGCATAGTAGCTTGATGGAGATCGGCTGCATGGCGTCATTCAGCGACGTCGAAACGGTGCGCGAAATTGAGGAGGTCGTCGATCAGCAGGCCAAGGCATGCGACGCTGAAGCCGGCGCCTTGGCAGCAGCAACCGTGACGGAAGAGAATGACGAGGCGAGGCTGCAGCAGGAGCAGCATGATGGCAAGGCGCCCGTGCTCGATCACCAAGAGGCATCGGCGCCCGAGCACGCCGCAGCAGTGGCACCGGCGGCACCAGCGGCGCCAGAGGAGCACGCCGCCGCAGAGGCACCGGCAGCACCACCGGCGCCAGAGGAACACGACGACGAGAAGCAGGACCAGGCCGAGGCGAAGAAGGAAGAGGTGGAGCCGCCCGAGGCGGCGGCGGCGGCGGCGGCAGATGATGAGTACAGCACGCGCGAGAGGCTGAAGCGGCACAGGCGGGAGATGGCGGGGAGGGTGTGGGTCCCGGAGATGTGGGGGCAGGAGAAGCTGCTCAAGGACTGGGTGGACTGCGCCGTCTTCGACCGCCCCATGGTGCCGACGGGGCTGCTCACGGCGCGCCGAGCGCTCATCGCCGATTGCTGCACTACACGCCGCCCGGACCGAAGAACGTCGCCGCCGTCGTCCACCGCCAGCTCCAGCCCGCCGCTCCGGGTGCGGAACGGCTGCTCCTGATCGGGTGCTCCTCTCCCTCCTGCAGACCTCCACACTACTACCTCCCGTTAGCTAGCTAGCTATCCTGAATCAACAAAGCCTTCTTTTTTTTTGCTCAAATAAGGGGGTCCTTCTTGTTCATTGAGTTGTGATGTGAGAAGGTCTAGTCTTTCTTGTTTAGCGTACTTCTGAATGAACAAGCATGCATGTGAATTACATACGAACTTGATTAGCTTAAACACTGCTAATAATCCTGAGATAATTAAAGATCTGTTTGAATCAATGAATGCAAAGATCTTGTGTTTTTCATCACCCTCTCTTGCTATTGTTGCCATTGCTAACTGTTACTATCGTACGTACGCATGCAGCGGCTTTGGTTTTATTTGTCAGCACATCATAAATCGATTAACTGGACAGTACTACGCACACTGTGCTGTGTTTGGTTTGCGAGGAAAAAATATCTATAGCCAGTCTTACGATAATACACTACAGGATTGCCGACTTAGATCGCCATCTTGGATTTAAGTGTGCTTGTTAATTAGGAGTTGTTTGTCATGTCAGGTGATCGAGAGCACATTTCTTGGTGTCGTAATAATGCATGACGTGGTTTCTTGCCGTTCTTTCGTTTACTCGGTCTCCGATCCTTCAGATGAAAATATTCGATCTTGTGTGTCCGTCTTTGGCTAGCTGTAGCTGTTCATGCATTGTGCATTTCTTTTTTTTAGAAAGGCGGCAAGAGATTTGTCGGATTTTTATTACACAAGCAAAAAGGAACAAGAAAAAAGAATTACAATAAACAACGAGAGACCAAGCTCACCGCCACCATGGCACACCGGCCGACAACCCAACTAAATACCCACCTGAACGACAACTTAAAGTCTAAAAAACATCCTAAAGCTGCCGAACAAGTGACCAACAAATACTAGAACTTCCTGTTGTGGTCCATCATGAAATCTTGTTGCCAATTGGTATCTATATCTTTCAGAGGAGTGCCACCGACTAGGCTGTAGCGACTTGTTCGAAATGTTCTTCGATTCTTTCCTTTCATAAATTCCACCAAAAATAGATCATAATACCATCAAAGCGCCTTTCTAGATCTTTGTTTGTCTTAATTGCACAGATTTGTGCGAGAGATTCATTCTATCAATTCGAAGGCTGAACCATCGCATTGTGCATTTCTCTTTTCAAGGAAAACGTGACCATGCAAGCACCTCGATCATGATACTTGTATATACCTTTGCTTCGAAAAGTTTAAAGAATCATTACTGATGATGTGATATGTTGCCGCCGTTCGATCTATACCATCAATAAGTTGAAGCTAGCCAACTAGCAAGCTATACAGGAATCTTTGATGACAAATATGTGGGTGCTGTGTTTCCAGAAGATGGTGCGTGCACGGTCGATTCGATATGATCGTGGACTAAGGTGTGCCACCAAGTCCTGTCCTCTCCTCTCCACTGTACTTTCTAGAGGGTGGAGAGAAAGTAGAATAGCCCCGTAGCTCCAAATTAAGTGTAGTACTCGTACGCGTTGCTTGAATTAAGCTGCCGATATATATATAGTCTTAACTTAGAACTCGGATCTGGATAGTAATATACACTAAGTACATAGTTTGTGCCTTTGTGGAGATAGCGTTAGTACATTTATCGACAAATATTTCTAGGATAGATGTGCACACGCTAACTATATAACAAATGTAGGCAAATTATTTGGTCAAGATTGCTAAACACTAACACCAATCTGCATATATAGGACCTAGGATGTTTTTTATAACTCCTATTTTTCATGTCCTATTTTTAAGTTGTTCCTGGATATCATGTATACTATCTTAGTATTTAGTTGGTAAAAGAATGTGTGTGCATGCGTTCATAGGAGTGATAGTACATGCATCACTACTCTAGATCCATGGATCAGTACCGGATCCAAACCCGATGTCAATCGAAATAAGACTTGGTAGAGAGTAGTTGGCAGTGGTGCTCTTTCTTATCACTGTCAATTCCTAGACCCGACATTGATAGTAAGATATCACAACCAGGTCAAAGCTAGACCCAGCAGTGATAGGATGAAGATCATTATTCGGTCAATATAATCCTCTACCCGACAATGAAAGTATTATACCCGATGTCGGGTCAGTGGCTTCAACCTGACAGGACCTTCAATTTCCTAATTTTTGTTGATATATTTTATTGTTACATTGAATAGAGGTTATTATTTAATATTTTGCATTTGATATTTATTAATGTATCACATATATTTCACTACCATTAAGATTGTACTACAATTATAGCAAATTCGAATCTCTATAATATGATTAGATAATGAATATATTACAGTTAAATCACTTTGAATTAGAACATAGTGTTTGTACAATTACACATTGCCATGAGATAAAATTTGAACATTCTATTTTGTATGACAACCTCATCCATGATGAAGTCGGCTAGTTTCTCTTGCGGTCCTATGATCCTGGACTCTATACTAGTAGCTTACGGGTGTGAAGCGCTACGTGCTACCATTGAAGCAAAAAGTATTGAAATGCACGAGTGTTGTACAAATGTGTTTTGTTGATGTAGAATAAATGAAAAACATACACACCAGACGATCTCCATCAAATGAGTCATCGCCACTAATCTGTGCATTGCCCACGTCACACGGACCCGCATTAGTTGTTGCCTAAACATGTCCCGGATCAATATATAGGATCTCAATTATTGTCCAGATCTTAGACTTATGACCCGACAATGAAGCTAGATCACTGCCAGTGATAGGTCGGCGGCAGCGATTATGTGTTATGTAGTAGTGTGTTTTTTTTTTTTTTTAAAAAAAAGCCTCCACATTAACTCTCAATGTCTAAAAAACACCAAATTAATTAATTAGAGAAAATAAAATCAAAATCCCCACATATATGTTAAAAAATGACCCACCACTACCATTATGAAAAAAAACGACACATATCTGTATTTATTTTTATATCACTTGCTGCGGCAAGGGTGGACCTCGATCCATCATGGAACAGATCGAGCTAGCACAGATTTCTTTTAATTTCTCTCCGTGTACCTGCACATGAAGGCATGTTGGTGTTCGATCGAGTATTATGCTCTGAACGGCAAACCTGCACGAGAGGTTTCACGACAACAGGACAACGGCAAGGCGACGTTCCCGTGGTTGTGGCGCATGCATGGCGACCTGTGACTTCCGGTTCATGCGCGTCGAGTTCTCCTTCTCGGACACGCTCCAGCCACTGGAGGCCGTGACAAGGACAGCGGCGAGACCTGCGGATGGGCTGCCCAGCCAGCCACAGGCCCACAGCCACCCCCGTCCGGACGCGGACTAGCCCACCTTTTGTCCGACACAAACGGGCCGAATCTGTGAACCGTCCACAGGATAGGATGGTGTTGGCAGACTGGCAGAGCCCGCCGCCGCATCACGAGCGGACCACCACCCGGACTCCTCCGGAGCACGCCGCGGCAGCCGGCATGGGCGTGGGACCCTGGTGCCACGCGGGTGGGCACGCCCGCTGGGACGCTGGGCGCTGGCTCGGCGCCACGCCGCCATGGTTAAAGCCGAGAAGAGAACCAGCCTCCGCGTTTCAGTCGCAGCAGTTTCCACTCTAATCCGTATCCCATCCCAATTCCCAAGCCGCCGTGACCGCTCCATTTCTTCCGCACCCATCCCCCGCCGCCTCGTCTGCACCGGAGACCAGTGCCCGCGCACCTGCGAGGTAAGCGTGCTCTGCCCTGCTCGTACTATCCGTCTCTTTACGCGATAAGCGATAAGAAGGTTTCTGGCCTTCTGGGCGAACCGCCGCACCGGATTTCTGTCCTGTGTTTCTCGTGTTAGTTAGTTTCCCAGGCCGGCCTTCAGGCTTCAGCAGTGCAGTCAGTTAGTGGTGAAGAAGAACCTCAAGTGCCGTAGGTTTCGTGTTTCTGAATGCGTATGCGTAGTTTTCTTCTTGCTTTGTTGAACTTTTATATAGTTCCCTATTTTGAATCCAAGTAGGCTGTAGGCGGTCAAATCTTAGTAGTAATCTAATGTACTGCATTCTCCACTACCCTCAGGCCTCAACGGTGGATACTACTACTGAATAGCAATGTAGGGGCTGTTCGGCTGGCTGGCCGGTGGCTGGCTGGCTGGGCAGCCCCCTCACGAATCACTGTTCACGTGAACAGTGATTTCAGTCAGAACAGTATTTTTCTCTCACAACAATCAGCTGAAACAGTATTTTAGTTTATTTTTCATTCCTGCCGAACAGGCTCGTAGTTGTCAGTTGTCCTGAACTGAGTAGAAAATGGCCATTTTCGATGACAGATATCCACATAGAGCCTTTCCTGAAGAAATGGAAAAGCTTTTTTCACTAATCACTACTATGGTCCTGAAATCATGATCTGTGTCATGCACTTCTAGTTTATGCGTGTTTGCTTCTAGTGTCTACATCAATATCCAGGTCAAAACGGGTAAATGTTATTGGTTAGAACTTGGATTCTTTTCTTGATCAGGTGATTGACTATGATACCACTATTTGTACTTTAAGGAAGTGTAGGCCACATATTTTAGGTCTTTTCTCGAAAGAAAAAATCTGATATGCTGCCACATCCTGCTTCAAAACCTGCTGTGTCCACTTTTTAGTGCTTAATTTTAAAACTTATTGCTTTTAGCCATCCAAAAAGTGGCCAGGGGAAGCACAATATGGATTGCATGTATAAGCCAAGCTTCTCTCTCAAAAAAAATGATATTTTTTTAAAATACTCATTTCTCTTTTCTATAGCGTTACCGGCTAACGTTGCTAGAACTCAGTCTCATACAAGCAGATGCTACTGCCTAATTCAGTAGTGCACTAGGGCCTGCCTTCAGCTGTACACGTTAGTCAGAATAAAGGCCTACTGGTTGCTTAGCAGCACTGTATAGCTAACTATTCTGCACCGTATATGCATTACTGAAAATGTCGTCTGTTCCCCTAGGGTGGCTTGCCGTGGCAAAGCTGGAGCTGCTTTGATGTGGAGTTCATCAGAGCTCGGCAACGATGACATGTTGTGATCTCTTTCTCGGGAAGTTGGGGATAGTCATGTTTAGGTGGTGTGGCTTGGGGGCTTTGGCTGATGTGGCCATGTGGGGGTCGGAGCTGCTTGTCGCTATCGTGACAAGCTTGGCAATGATAACGCGTGGTGCATTTCGTCGGTTGTAGGAAGTGAGCCTACGCGTAGTTCAACTGGTTGATGAGAGGTGTGGCAATGTACCCAACCATCCAGGTTCAAGTCCCGTCTTGGACTGAATTTGGGTGCCTATTTTCTCTTTTTAATGAAAAACCACCTAGTTTCTCCTAGGTTAGATCTCTTTTTTTTTTTGCTTCGTCGGTTGTGTTGTCGTTGTGTGTTAATGGGTTGATTGGGTTTGGTCATCTGGACTGGTGTACTTAGGTTTTTGTTGGGTTTTCCTTAATAAACCGTTCATTATATGCTTGTAGGCCCGGTTTTTCTTATAAACCACCTCTTTTCTACCTATAGTGAATAGCGGGAACTACTTACTCTCTGCCCTTTTTGGAGGTTGCTTCGGAAAAAAAAATGTTTATGTTGGGTAGTTGCTCAGAACTTTGTATACAGTTTCAATTAATAGTATGTACTTTGTGACCCATAATTTTTGCAGTTACATGCTGTTGAAGCTATCAACTATTACTTAGAAACAATAAAACCCCCAATAACTTTTCTGATAGTGAACATGGTAGTTTTGGGGCGTAGGTTCTTATTTTTCTAAAAAGTTCCACGGTCATAAACACCTGTCCACAAACATGTTTTCGAGTTCCAACAATGCTTAGAACAGGTCCTTACCTGACTTAAGTTCTCTGACTTGCATAGTTCTCTGAGAGTTGCTAAGTTTCATACGCATGGTGGATGCTAATGTAATATTCACCTCTCGCCGTTCTGATTACGTATTTTACAGGTATCAAACACCCCAAGATGGCAACTTTCACATCCCCAGTTCTCTGCAACTTCATGACCATCGAACAGAAGAGCGCGCCTCTGCTGAACAACAGCACAAAACGGCCCCTGCACCTGAGCTTCCCAGGGACAAGGAGCGTGGCGACATTGCCGGGCTTTCAGAGCGAGGCAAGACTTGCACGTCGCCGCCGTCTACAAGGTGAAGCTCGTCGGCCCCGAACTCCTGCCGCGCTGGTGCGTGCTCCACGTGCGCCAGCAAAGTACTGGAGGGCTCCGTCGACCAGTCGGACCAGTCGTTCCTCGACGACACGCAGGTCGGCGCCGGGTATGCGCTCACCTGCGTCGCGTACCCGACGTCTGACTGCATCATCCAGACGCACAGGGAGGCAGACCTGTACTAGGTAGTCCGGTCCCACGCATGGCATGGATCAACCTTGCACTTCCATTTCCATAGCTCCATTCGGATTCGATCTTGAGTTCTTCAGACTGTGATTCGCACTTGTGCTCTTGTCCTTGCAGCTTTAGCTAGAACTAGTACATTCTTAATCGTCATTGTGCAAGTGTAGGTTGTTATGGTATGATTCGTCCTGTGTATTGTTCTCTCTAGATACGGAACGACTAGCGCTCAGCCGTGTTCAGACGCCGCTACCCCCGCCTCGCGCCTACTCCATTCTACATGTCCCACCCGCTCCGATTCTGCGCTGCTCGAATGACTCGCTCCACTCACGCCGCCCGTCCCACGCGGGCCCACGTCTTCCAAACATCACCGGCATCGAGAAGAGCAGACACTGAGGCGAGCGGCACAAGACGAGGAGGGAGATGCAATACCCAATCTACTTTTGAAACATTTACAACATACGTCTGAAACACTTGTAAAAACACCTGAAAAAGCCATTGCAAAATATATATGCAACATTCAGAGAAAAACACATGCAACATATGTGTGAAAACACCTACAACATTCAGATAAACACACTTGCAACATACGTCTAGAAAAACATCTGAAACATTTGGGAACAAAAGCTTACAACATACGTGTACAACCATTGCAACATATGCAACATCCCGATCTACTTTTGCAACATCCAAATGAAATACTTGCAGCATAGATGAAACATCTTAAACACTTGAAACATACTTTTGCAACATGCGTTTCTAACGCGCATGTCACCTTTCTACTTGGAAGAATCACGGAGCTCGACGCCGTCGCGGTGCATGGAGCTCGACGGCCTGGGTGAGCACCTGGACGAGGTACACGAGCACCCCTGGGCGAGCACCTGCTCCGCGCCCTGGGCCAGCACACCCTGGGCGCGGCGGGGGACGAAGGCATCACGGAGGATGGCCGCGGCGGCGCGCCGGAGTGGCCTGGCAAGGTCGGCGCCCGACCGCTACGCCTCAGAGGCGGTCGCGTGCTGGCTTGGCCAGCGATCGAGCGCTAGAGGCGGCAGGCGAGTGGATAGGAGCCAGTGAGCGAATAGGAACAAGTACATGGAGAAGCTGATTTTTTATTTAGGAATGGAGGAGCGGAGGGGAGGGTCTTGGTCTATTGTCACGCGGACCACCAACGGTGTGTCCAGTCGTCCGGACACCCGCTTCCTAGCATTAGCACTGTATCTTGGAATTTACCAAGCCAAGCCCTGACTCGAAATCAACGGCAGCTCGGTGACCAACAGCCTGTTCGCTTGCTCATATCTAGCTTATCAGCCAACGAACAATATTTTTCTCTCACACCAAACCAGCCAACAGTACTTTCAGCCATGGCTTATAAGCTAATCCAGCCTAAACGAACAGGGCGCAAGCATCGATCTATCAGTTTCAGTTTTTCATCAACGCAGGCGGCAGGCGTTTGCGTCACCGGTAGTGTTTAGGCCTGGCCAGAGCAATAATTTGGGTGCTTCTCTTTTATTTCAAAGAGCACATTACATGGACACACAAAAATACACATGCATACATATTTCTATGGACGCCTTCGAGTATGTTGTCAGTTTGGCCAGTTTTAGTGGAGAGTTTTATTTCGTTATTTCTAAGACTAGCACGTCATATAGAATGAAATAAAATTTGAATGAAAGACACACTCTCAATATAAAGTTTCATTCTATGGTTTTATAGATATTTAGAGAGTTGATAATCGTGCCAAGAGACTTTCATCCCCATGAAACTCAATTATTCTCTCTTTTCATTAAAATGTTGCCATGTCATAAAAATACATATGTGGCAGGCTATTAAATACAAATGAAACTCTCATAAAACTCCCGCTGAGACTGGCCTTATTGAAATGACAATATCGTTAAATCTTTTAATAAATTTGAAAATAAAATACAAGCACATGTGCAATGTCATTAAAATTTATAATAAAGTTGAAAAAATACAAGTGTCAAGTGAAAAGAACCCAACTAGCCACTGAGCTACACTCGCTATTTGGTTGCTACTCAATAGGAACTCAAGGACGTGTACCAAAAAGGAAAAAAAAGTCCTTCGATTCTTGACAAAACGAGAGAGATCCATTGGTTAGTTGATCTGACTTATAAAAGCAAGGTTAATACGTCACAGGGATCGATCTTAAACTTTGATATTATGGGTTTGCTAGAACCACGTGTGAATGGTTGTATCAACCATTCAATTTGAGTAACACTAAAAGAACCATTCAATTTGAGCCCGTGTGTCACATATGGGTGAATGATTATCATGTGTTAGATCTGTTTTTTTTTTTTAAAAAAAAACATCCAAGGGATGAGATTTAAAGTGCGTAGAAATTTATTAGGTGACATGTAATTATAAATTCTTTCGCAGTTTTACTATATAATATATATTAGTTAGATATATTAGAATGTTTTGGGAATTTTCTATATATTTTTTATTTTTATATAAAGCCAAGTCTATTTTTCTGAAGTATGTAAAGATACTTTTATTGTCTTTAAATATTTTATTTAAATTTTTTGTATCCTAATATATCTCTAGAATGTTTTTTGATATTTTAAAAGCTTATTAGACACACTTTTTGTGATATAAAAAGATCTTCTGAAGTATTTATCAGACTTCTTTAATAGAAGGGACAAAACTGCTTTCCAAATCACTCTCAAGAAGAGAGGTAATTTGAACAGTTGTGAGAGTTCAATGGATAGGACGTCTAATTTTGAAGTTAAGACAAAAAATCAAAACGATAGTTTAGTGACAGAGATTTTTGTTTTTTTTAGCAACATAGTGACACAGATAAAATGAACTTCTTTTTCAAATCTGAATCCCCCTGTAGTTTGCCCTTTTCAGCCCATGAAAAATCCGCCTTTGAAGGCCCAGCCCCAGCAGACCTAATAACGCACAGGAGCAGGCCCGCTCGGCCGCTCTCCCTCCCAATCCCCGCCCCTGCCTCTCCCAGTCTCCCTCCGTTTGCGTTCGCTGAATTGGCGGTGGCGGCGCCATCCGCACCTTGCCGCCACCTCGTCGCTCGGCCATACCCCATCCGCCGCCTCCCACCTGCTCGGTCCCAGCCGGCTGCCGGCCGCAGACCACCGGCCACCGGTGCTCGGCAGTCGGCCGACCCCCAGCCGGATTTCCCCCAGGTGGCAAGCCCCAAGGCCTCCACCCGGCCACCGCCCCAGTCCTCAGGTGTCGTCCTTGTACGGGACATAACGGCTTTATGCTGGTCTAGGGCGCTTTGCTCAGCCCCTCCTATATACTTTTTCTTGACCCACCGGATGATGACCTCGACCGCGTCGTGGCCGAGGTGTTCGGCAGAATGACACGCCGGGAAGTGGCAACCTCGCTGCACCGATCGCTTGCCAGGTTCTTCGTGCATGACTACCCAGAGAAATTTCACTCGCTTGTCGCTGACAAGGCTAGCCATCACAGAGCCCTGGGCTCTACGGACCTCGCGTGTGCCCTGCAGGCGTGCAGGGGGCGAGGCAACCGATGGCCGCTCGTGCTGGAGATCCACGCGACGTCAGTCGTGCATGGGCTTGGGGCTGACCGCCTTATAGGCAACCTGCTGATTGATTTGTACGCCAAGAATGGGCTCGTGTGGCAGGCAAGGCAGGTGTTCAAGGAACTTTCTGCGAGGGACCATGTCTCATGGGTTGCCATGCTGTCAGGGTATGCACAGAATGGTCTTGGAAAGGAAGCTTTCAGACTTTACAGCCAGATGCATTGGAGTGCTGTTGTTCCTACGCCGTATGTTCTGTCTAGTGTGCTGAGTGCTTGCACTAAAGGAAAACTTTTTGCACAAGGTTGGATGATCCATGCCCAAGTTTACAAGCAAGCATTCTGTTCGGAGACCTTTGTGGGCAATGCACTTATTGCGCTTTACTTAGGATACGGATCCTTTAAGCTAGCAGAAAGGGTATTTTGTGACATGCTGTTCTGTGATAGAGTGACGTTCAATACATTGATCTCAGGACATGCTCAATGTGGATATGGTGAGCGTGCTTTGCAGATTTTTGATGAGATGCAGTTGTCAGGGCTCAGGCCTGATTGTGTGACAGTTGCTAGTTTGCTTGCAGCCTGTGCCTCTGTGGGAGATCTTCAAAAGGGGAAGCAGCTCCATTCGTATTTACTGAAGGCAGGTATGTCTTTTGATTACATAACGGAAGGCTCACTCCTTGATCTGTATGTGAAATGTGGTGACATTGAAACAGCACATGATATCTTCAATTTGGGTGATAGGACAAACGTGGTGCTATGGAATTTAATGCTTGTGGCATATGGGCAGATTAGTGATCTAGCAAAATCCTTTGAAATCTTTTGTCAGATGCAAGCTACAGGTATACGCCCCAACCAATTCACCTACCCGTGCATTTTGAGGACTTGCATTTGCAGTGGGCAAATTGAACTTGGAGAGCAGATTCATTCATTAAGCATAAAAAATGGATTCGAATCTGATATGTATGTTAGTGGTGTCTTGATAGATATGTATTCTAAATATGGCTATCTTGATAAAGCTCGAAAAATTCTTGAAATGCTTGATAAAAAAGATGTGGTTTCTTGGACCTCAATGATTGCTGGATATGTGCAGCATGACTTTTGTGAAGAGGCTCTTGCAACATTCAAAGAAATGCAGGACTATGGAGTTTGGCCAGATAACATAGGACTGGCTAGTGCTTCAAGTGCCTGTGCTGGAATCAAAGCAATGCGCCAGGGCCTGCAGATTCATGCTCGGGTTTATGTCTCTGGTTATGCAGCTGATATTTCAATTTGGAACACGTTGGTAAACCTGTATGCAAGATGTGGAAGCAGTGAAGAAGCTTTCTCTTTGTTTCGGGCAATTGAACACAAGGATGAGATCTCATGGAATGGATTGATATCTGGTTTTGGGCAAAGTCGTCTTTATGAACAAGCTCTCATGGTATTCATGCAGATGGGTCAAGCAGGTGCCAAGTACAATGTGTTCACATTTGTTTCCTCTATTAGCGCTTTAGCTAACCTTGCAGATATAAAACAAGGAAAACAAGTACATGGTAGAGCTGTTAAGACAGGACACACCTCTGAAACTGAAGTTGCCAATGCTTTGATTTCACTATATGGAAAGTGTGGCAGTATTGAAGATGCCAAGATGATCTTTTCTGAAATGTCACTGAGGAATGAGGTTTCATGGAATACTATCATAACAAGTTGTTCACAGCATGGACGTGGAGTAGAAGCTTTGGATTTATTTGATCAGATGAAGCAAGAAGGTCTGAAACCAAATGATGTCACCTTCATAGGTGTGTTAGCTGCTTGCAGTCATGTGGGTTTGGTTGAGGAAGGCCTTAGTTACTTCAAATCCATGTCTAATGTCTATGGACTTAATCCAACACCTGACCATTTTGCTTGTGTTGTGGATATTCTTGGACGAGCAGGTCAACTTGATCGTGCAAGGAGATTTGTTGATGAAATGCCTATCACTGCTGATGCAATGGTTTGGCGAACACTTCTCAGTGCCTGTAAAGTACACAAGAACATAGAAATTGGGGAGATTGCAGCCAAACATCTCCTGGACTTAGAGCCCCATGATTCAGCATCATATGTCCTCCTATCAAATGCATATGCTGTTACTGGCAAGTGGGCCAACCGGGATCAGGTCAGAAAGATGATGAAAAACAGAGGAATTAGAAAAGAACCAGGTCAAAGCTGGATTGAAGTAAAGAATGCAGTTCATGCGTTCTTTGTTGGTGATCGGCTGCACCCCTTATCTGATCAGATATACAAGTTTTTGTTTGAGCTAAATGATAGGTTAGCCAAAATAGGATACAAGCAAGAGAAGCCTAATCTGTTTCATGAAAAAGAGCAAGAGCAGAAAGACCCTACTGCTTTTGTCCATAGTGAGAAGTTAGCTGTTGCATTTGGGTTAATGACTTTGCCTCCTTGTATTCCTCTTCGAGTGATTAAGAACCTTCGTGTGTGTGATGACTGCCACAGTTGGATGAAATTTACCTCTGAAGTCACAAGAAGAGAAATTGTATTAAGAGATGTGTACAGATTTCACCATTTTAACAGTGGCAGCTGTTCATGTGGAGATTACTGGTGAATTGGGCTGTAGTAAAGTATTTATAGCACTTTTTTGATCGGAAATCCCCCCATACTATTCCTAATGGTTTCCATGTTAAGATGTCTGGGACCTACACTTATATCTGCTATTGTGACATGTATATATCTGGAAAGGGATTCGCCATGGCAAAGCCAGCATGTCTAGATAAACATGTACAGCAGTACAGGGCTTTGGAAGAGTCATTCATATCTGTCGCATGAAATTGAGGTTTTCTTGATAGATAAATAGAACCTCTAGGTTTTGATCTAGTGGGTAAATTCTTGGCTTAGATAGAAGACTTAGGCGATGTACCTTGCCCTAGGTCATCGTTACCTAGAGTGAATCCTGTCCGAGCCCCCTCGCGTCGGTGTAGTAGTTGCAGTGGCACCAGCGAGGATGTTGGAGGCGCGGAGCAGTGACGGCGACCGACGGCGACGCGAGGTGCCGCAGTCCGGTGGTGACGCTTCCCGCCGCTGGCAGCACCCTTTCTTTAGATCGGGTTAGAGTTGGGATGGAGGTGGGGCGTCTGGCGGCTCAGGGGAACCTCGTACCTTGTGCCCCGGCCCCCACCTCTCTTTTATGGTGCTGTGCGACGGGAGCCCACCAACCACGCAGCGGTTGGGCGCCTCCAATCAGGGCGCGGATCCAAGGGCCCAATTGACCGGGTGAAGATCAAACTAACATTCTCTCCCTTGATCTCACCTTATGACTTAAACTTAACTTACTTTATCTTATTTTCATTCCATCACAGATCAGTGCATAGAGCGTGCCTCATCGTCACGGTCTATTGCCATTAGATTAAACAGGTACAACGCACCTCTCTGTTTTGAAACAGATACTCAACTAGGCCCTTAATATCCAGAAATCGTAGACTTTCCCATAAACCCATGTCGACTGTGTGTTCTCTGAACGCACTGGGTGGTTAGCCTTTGGTAAGCGGATCCGCAAGTACTTACTCGGTACTTATGTGCTCAATCTTTCAAAATGATTCTGGATTTTCTCCTTTACAACATATACCTTAGTGTCAATGTGTTTGGCAGCACACTTGACTTGTTGTCTTAGGAGTTAACTTACTTTAAATTGTTATTGTTGTTGTCTACCATTGTTAAATCTAGGTATAAATTTTCTTAACCTCCTTTTGCCTGTTCCTTAAGTCTCATGACAAGCTATACTATGGTATGCATCACTGATGACACCACAACTGTTTTTTTGGAGCTTTTCCATAATAATACTCCAATTACGAGTGTTAGCAACTGCTGTGGATTTTACTACACATCTCGCCAAGATTTAACTTTTGTACCATCAACTATTTGAGAGTTCTTATTTTTTCTTACTCAGCATGAAGCCTATCATACTTTATAAAATTGCAAGACATTTTCAACTCCATTTTAGTGACCTATGTCTGGACTGGACTTCTGCCAAAATATCCCGGATACATAAACTACATCAGGGTAAGTTCTTACTTGTACTTGTACACTCATCAAGCTTCCAACAGCTGAAGCATATGGAACCATATTCTTTTGATCGATCTCATATCGGTTCCAGAAATACTTAAAGTTCCCAAATCTATTACCCTTGACTATAAGAGCAGGCGTAGGTTTACTCGCATGTATACTTTACTTCTCTAGAATTTTTTCTAAGTATGCCTTTGCGATAGTCCTAATACCCTATTTTCTTCTATCTTGGTGAATTTTGATTTCTAGAACCAATGACGCTTCACCAAGATCATTTACATTGAAACTTGAGGACAAAATTTCTACTTCTCCAATGATAAATTAACATCACTACTAGTAAGTAGAATGTTATCTATTCATAGGATGTGGAAAAAGAAATTTTCATTCTTAAACTTCACATAAACGCTATTGTCCTTCTCATTTTTCTTAAAATCCAAACTTTCTCATTGTTTCATTAACTTCAAATACTACTGTCTAGAAACTTACTTTTAACCCATAAATGGATTTTCATAGGCGGCATCCCATATGTTCTTTTTTTTCATGACAAAACCTTTTGGGTTGTGCCATGTAATCGTTTTCATATAAATTACCGTTGAGGAATGTCGTCTTTACATCCATCTGATGTAACTCTAAATCGTAATGTGCCATTAAACACCATTATGATTGTTAAAGAATCCTTACATAAGACTGGAGAGAAAACTCTCATTGTAATCTTTTCATTCTTTTTGCTTAAAGCACATTGCCACAAGTCATGCTTTATACCTTTCTACATTTCCTTTGGAGTCACATTTTGTCTTGTAGATCCATTAACAGCCTACTGTATTGGCTTCATTAGGAATTACTTCTAAGTCCCAAACATCGTTGGCATTCATCGAATTCATTTTAACTTTCATAGCTTCTTACCATTTAAACGAGTAAACGCTTCTCATGGCTTCTTCAAGCGAGATGGGATCACCCTTGATTTGAATTTCTTTACTAACATAGACTTCATAGTCATCAGAAAACTGGTTTACTAATTCTTTGAGACCTTCTGGGGCCTCATCTACTGGCACTTTCATATTGGGCTGTTGTTGCTCTTCATTGCCAAGAGGCGATTGATTCTACATGTTCCTATATGACAAAATCCTTGTTTACATTATTCATCTTCTTCGAAAAGCTATCAACAGGTGTTGTATAAGTCATACAACATCAACAGGTATTGAGAGATTCGTTGTTTTTTGAATCACTGAAGTGGGCATGCAGTCCCGCTTCTCTTCAAAGTCTTAGGTCTCTACATACCTCTACATACCATGCTCCCCTAGATCTTTCCATCTTTTTTAAAGATAGTGTATCTTTAAATATCTTATTTTGGGTTTAATCCGTTAAACTCTCATATGGTGCTTTAAGCACTACCTTAACATCTTTGAGACTGACTACGCTATCTTCCTGTCAGAACTTTAAAGGTCCAGTAATTTAGCTATCTCTTTACTTAGGGGTATCATTGTTGTAACCGTTGTACTCCTTCAACGGTCTTTATCTCACTCTTAATGAAGAGTATCTTTCTTAATTGATCTCTATCTCATTCTTAATGAAGAGTACTTTCTTAATTGATCTTAATATTCTCCCCCACGAAATATGACATGAACTTTACTGCCATAATTTTGATAACTATTCAGAAAATCTGTAAACGAGGAGACACTTATAACTTACTTCATTCACATGGTTGTGTCATGTAAACAAAGTTATTTCTTGATCCGTTTAGGAGTACACTTTTCTTAATTCACTTTAAGAACTCAACGAGGTCTTTCATTAGTAGTACTTTTACAAGTCACACTTGCATCTTTTCCTTATCCTTTGATTAGTATTGACCATGACAATGCATTTCTATTGTACCAAGGTCAATACTAGGACAACATAAGAGCTATCCAAACTTTTCTCGCTGTGCGGGATACAAAACATGTGAATCATCACAAAACTTCTTCCGCCATGCAGGATTGATTAGCATAAATACTATGCCAAAACTTCTCCCCATGTGGGATAGATCTATACAAAACTTAGTCATGACGACAAAAACATTCACTTATACTTCATTTTCCAGTTAAATCTTTCCGTTGATTCCAATTTAATCAGAAAATTAGTAAACTAACAAAAACTGTCCTAAACTGGCTTGACTTAAGCCTTTTCATTCACATACCCTAGCATTGCAGCCTGTTGACATGCAGCCGAGTGATTTCATCGGTTAAATAAACAAGGTGCTTCTGCATCAATTCTACATCACCATTGGGTAAAAAATAGAATTAATGCATAAAAACTCATAAATCAACTTGAAATCCATATAACTACTCTTCAAAATTAAATTCTTCCGTTGGTTCGAATTTAATTAGAAGATAGTCAACTTCATTGTAGCGGAAACATATTAATAAAATACATTATCTTAGTTCAGGAGTATTTCTTGGTCCTTATCTACTCTCTGAAAAATTGATCACGTTGGTGTAAAAATTTTCAGAGATTTAAACTTCAAATTTAAATTCGTCATAATATTGTCATCATCAATGTTGGTCAGAAAATGACAATACCATAATCTTACTTAAACAAGAAATGAACTACCCCTCTAATTAAATTTTTCCGTTGGTTCCAATTTAATTAGAGGATTAACATAATCATAATTTACTAAATATATTTGCTCTTCAAATTAAATTCTCCCGTTGGTTCGAATTTAATTAGAAGATAATAAATTTTAAACTTTACAGCGAAAACTTAAACATAATTTGTGAATTTTTACCTACAGGAAAAATTCTTTTGCTAATTTTCTTGAGCTATTAAACATTTTCTAGGAAATAAACATTTACTAGAAAAAGAAAAAAAAAACTAATTCATTCTTTAGTGTGCGCTCGGCCTAGCAGCAAAAAAAAATTGGCCCGGCCTACTCTGCTGACGCGCGCACTGTGCCTCCCTGACCGCAACCTAGGCCTGGGCCGACAAAGCCACCCGACCGCGTGCTCCCGCCTGGGCCGGACCCTAGTCCGATCAGAGCTGGCCGTTCATCTAAGATCAACGATCATCCGCGCGTCTCTGGTGATCAACCCCACTGGCCGGCGCTGCTCCCCAAACCCTAGCCTCACTCTCCTCCCTCCCCTTCTCTCACTTTAGCGCGCAGCGATCGAGAGTGAGAGCGCAGTCGAGCATGGCGCCATTGCCGACCCCCTTGCCGGCGCGCGCCCCAACGGGTGAGCGCACCGCCATCGAGGGGCCTAGCCGTGGCGCCCTTGGCCAGAGCCAGCGCAAGACCGATGAGTTGCTGACCCGCTAGGCCTTCTTCTCGCATGCCGGTGAGGCGGCAGTGCGGTGCACGGCGAGGTAGGCCTCTTCCCCCTTTGCCCTTCTTCTCGAATTTGTCCGATTTGGGGATTAGGGTTAGGGTTTTTCGCTCACTGTTCTTCTTCCCTGATGGATTAGGGTTTGGATTAGTGCTTAGGGTTTGAGTTAGGGTTCAAACCTTCTGTCTCTTTGCTTCTTCTCCTTCCTCGGTCGTAGATTCGGTCGATTAGGGTTTGGCCAAACCCACTG